ACGTAGTTGATTTTTTAAATAATAGTTTCTACTTCTCCATGCCTAACGTAAAATAATATTCAATGTATTTTTACCAGCTTAGAAAACAACGCTTGAGATTATATCAAATAGTTTATCGCACCATTTACACTCTATATACCTGATAGCTAAGTTTTCGTCGCTAGCCAACTCTAGTTTGATCATCGCGTGCACCAAATCCGATCCTAAGAACGAATTGTGGTACGGTATGAGGCGATAGAAGCGCGTTCGGATATCCACCGTGGCGCAGAGCTTGCGAGCAATCGCAAGCAGCTCTTGGTCAGCTATCCCACCGGCAGACATAGTGTCTCGATCTTGTACGCCAAATATATGGCTGTATATACGCGTTTAATGTATCAATGTGATGCGCAGACTGTGTCAGCAGCCCATCTAACCAGGAGTCCTAAGAACACATCTATCTAACATATTGTTGTATAATAAATTCAACCAAAGCGACTCTATTATTGTATGTAAATATGTAAATATGTACAGTACCTTTTTTATTTTGGACTTTTTTTTGGTACAAAAATATATATACATATATTTGTTTTATTCACAAGCAGACAAGACTGCAGTGATGACGTTACCACATCAATGACCTCAAGCTGATGCAATTGAACTACGAACTATGTAGTGATTATTTACTGATTAGTGACCTGTGAAGCATGATGTATAATTTTAGCGAATATGAGTACATATTTTTTACTGTTCTATTTTTGAAGTACTATTGACTACTCTGGGGTTGGTACAAATGGAAAATTCAATGAACCCCTCTTATTGGTGACTATGAGAGCAACATGCATTTCAAAATCCTGAGGGCTGAGGGCCTGAGGCTAATCTTCGGGGCCTTGCGCAATAGTATTATACAACACGCATTGTACATGCATGCTAAATTTTAATGGATGTATGGTTCATGGCATAGTAGTACTAGAAAAAGTACATACACTTTAACTTTTTGACCGTGCAAATAGACAGTAACATTTAAGCATACCCGCTTAGAGGAGTGGAGACAAGGGTGACAACCGTTTAGTGTGCTGTAAACCCTATTCCTATTCCCGATAAAACCGAGCACTCCTTTTCGTAGTGCTTCACTATCAGGTCTACTTCACAACTTATCACGGATGATCATAGTTGTAACCTTTAGGCTTAAGGATGGCAAGTAGTGTTTACTGGGATTAATTTCTACGAGGATTTGTGATCAATTACCTATAATTAATTGGTCACAATTGTACCAAATTCTATGATATAGAAATAGTATATCACAAGTGCCGCAAGCAACCCAGACTCCACGAAATAGACTGTCCTTTGGCTGTTTACAATACATTATTACAATACTTCCCACGGACGATCAATTTCGAATAGGACGTATGCCCTCGAAACCACGATATGCCTGTGTTTGATCATTCACTTTTAACAGTGCAGTATTCCAATACATCCCACGAACGATCAATTTCGAATAGGACTTTTGCCATCGAACACACGATATGCCTGTGTTTGATCCTTCAATGGGGGTTTTGCCCTCAAAACCACAATGTGCCTGTGTTTGTATTGCTTTATCTACGCAGCAACCAGTCCCATCTACTTCAAAACTTTACTGGGTTAGTTCCTTTTACATAGGTACGTGGCTTTTGTTACTCTATCCTTATTCCTGTGTGATGTAGCCAGTAGCAGATTACATGCGCAGCAAGCTTCCCAGCCACCAGGAAAATAGTTGGCTCTTGACTATTTACGAAACAGTCATTTGGCTCTGACATCCACTCTAGTACTAAACTTTGCTCACTGATGACTCTGGAACGGGACATGTACTAACTTGGGCCTAACAGCTGTGCTTATGGGTTGCCGTAAAAAGTATGTCCCCTCTAGTCGGCCTGATACTCCGAAACGCTAAGTACCATGTTCCGTACAAATTTTCATTATTCGTTTTACGAAGTCTTAGCCATTTGGTTTGTTCGCCCATCCCCTGACCACCACTCTACCCGTCTCCATATGTCTAGCATACTACTTATGGCCTGCGTTTAAAGCCTTTGTTCTATTCATTTCGCTTTGTATACCAAATATCCCAATGTTCCGGCAGCCACCAGGGCCACGCCGTGTGGATATGGTCTGACTGTGAGTGCATTGTGTTTCCATGTGAACCAAGGTAGTCGTTCTTCTGCTCCTGACTCCTTCACCAATCGCCTCGCATTATGTACGGCCAGAGTGGTTGCCTTATAGGAGGGGTCTGAAGGGTTCATCTTCGTCTCGAGTTCTGGTGCGGTGCGAGGTTGCGGTAGAGATCAGTATTTGATTTGCCGCCCCATGATAAAACTGTAGGCAGTGGTTGAACTACTGACCAATATGATTCGCACTAGTGTGGTGCAAAAGTAATGCACACACCCAGGCATGATATAACTATATATATATATATATATACCATGCATGCATGAAAATTACATATATTGGTGAACTGAAAAAGCGCATATAAGGATGCTTCTATTTGCTGCATATGCATATGCATATGCCTATGCCTATGCTCACACGCAGTGAGAACAGAAACAATGCCACCAAGAGTTCGGTCAGTCTAAAGATGGAATCGGCTACATGTTATCAATCGCCTCAAGATGACTTGCTAATATATGAAGGGCACGCCGAAGTATTGTGAAATTTACACATGGATCGAAACTCTAGTGTTTTCCCGTTTTTGCATTCGAATCTCACATATACAACTTGATTGCACTATTCGTCGACAACTCACCTTTCAGTTGTTCGTCAAATATTAACGCTACGGCGTCCATGTTCTTAGAGTCAAGCATGTATCGAACAGCCAGCCCCTTGCGAATCTTCACCACTTTCTGAAAGACTCGTGGATTGTTGTAGCAGGAGTTCAACGTAGCAACAGCCATTACCTACGGAGTGAACGAATACATGGTTGTCAGCAAATAGACGCAACCCAGTAACCGAAAAAAAGCATGTAAAATATTGAGTGTTGTGCAATCAATGTACTCATACAAAACTATGTGTGTCTAGTACACAGTATGTATTGATCCAAACGCCTCCGCGTCAACTGTAGATTACATAATCATATTCGATATATATATATGTGTGTGTGTGTGTGTGTTTGTGTGTGTG